GACCCACTGATTTTACTGCTTGTCCACCACTCAAAAATGATTAAACTAAGAAATTAAATAACTCATGGTAAGGTAAACTACTTGAAGATTGAAGACCAAATTTAAACAGCCTTTTTATACTCAATCCATATGTTGTTCATTATAAATCAAAAGAAAAAAAAAATAGGATTATAATCCCTGATATCAGTAGAGAGGAATGAATGCAAGCCTTACTTAAATATAAGAATGGCAATTGGGCACCTCAGCGTGGTGTAATGGTTAGCAAGCTTGTCTCGCTAGATCAATTACAACTGAAAAGTGAGTTCGATCCTCACTAGATGCCCCATACTTCGGCCTTGTATCACATCTAAGCTACGCTTGGAAAATAACTATAAGAATGGCAATTAATAATCTTGATAACCAATGAACCAACTTGTATAGATTTAATAAATTCCCAACTTTTTTTTGTTTTTTTCATTAATATAGCCCAAAATACACAATAGTAAGTCAGTGGATATATTTTGGACAAAGACTAGTTTTGACAATACAAATATAAGTATTATGAGCATGTGATTCTGCATTTTCTAATAAGATTTTCAAGTTTACAGAAGAAAATGTGAATGCAGTTGGAATTTACAAAATAAAAATTACAATTATCAACAATTCTAAAAGACATTTAAGACTCATTTTATCTTCAAATGGTTTAATAACTGGAATATATATAGTATACAATATAAAAAAAAGAGATAATTAGTTTTTACTATTTCCATGCGCTTTAATGTGCTCATGCATGTATACACACACATACACAATAGGCCAAATATTTATTATCACTCTCAGGATTTAATAATTAGTAAGTTTCATACATTAGGATGCTGAAACTAACATGGCATTCAATTTTTTTTTAGAGGGGATATCTAAAATTTCAAATCTGCCAGCCCTAGGATTACCATTAGTCAGCAAGGTAGATTAGGCAAAAAGAGCTAAAATTTTAAGCAAACTTTATGCAGTCATGAATTCTGTTATTATTGAATATGTGATAAAGAGAAAGTTCCTTTGGCCCAAAGCAAGCTAGTAAATTAGGTTTGAAAATGCTGTGTAACATCCAATTTTTAGGTGATTCTTCAAAATCCAGAGAGTGATCCCAAACATTTGGCCTTAGTATACATACCCAATTAAATTCAGTACTAAACATCTGATCAGATAACATGTCAAGAAAAACATGAAAATAATGCAAGGAATATTTAATAATAATTATACAAGTATATTAAAGGCTAACAATTTCTGAGGAGTATTGCAAAAGCATGTGTAAAAGCATGATATATATATATATATATATATATATATATATATATATATATATATATAAAACATGCGCCAGGCATTTGAAAACATCTTTATCAGGTCATAAATGGAAGACAATACAAGGTGGCATGAACCAAATCTTAACATGTCAATTCTTAATCTGATATGGGCAATGAAAAGATGTGCTGGACTTATGGCACTATCCTCCAACCAATGCAACTCGGACATGGCCACTTTTAAGAATCTGGCTTGGTGAATAGGCAAAATGATAAGTGGCTTTACTTGGACATCACAAATGTACCCAGATTAATGCACGCCAAGCTCACATCATCAGTGATGGCATTGGGAGTTGTGAGCAATGTGGATTTTTGTCATGAAATTCCACTTCCTCCAATAGAGTTTGAGGAGAAATGCCCCCACCTACATAGATATGCTGGACATGGTAGTCAAGCTCTGAATTGCGAAAACAGCAGTATGTTTTCCAGCAGGAGTCTTCTTCCCATTCGGCCCACATGACAGAATCTTCATGATCAACATTATTCTCAGGATGAAGAATTTCACGCTGCTGATTTTAATCCCTTGCACACTTATATCTCAGGGTTCCTCAATAAGTAGATGAATCAGTGGCCCCACAATATCAAAGATGTGTTAAAAATTGCAATTGTAGATGTAATGATAAATGAGAAACACTTGACAGGTATGCAGTCACTTCCAAGACTGAGGGCAGTTTTATTCAATAACCTGTATTCTTTTCTCAAGCTGAACATGCGTACATTTCTTCTACAACAATACCCTTGAACATCTTTGTTTTCCTTATTTATTTTCAATTACCTGGCACAGTTTTGTAGCAAGATGATATATACTCAGCAAATAAAATATTCTTCATGTCAATGCTCTTAGTTGTGAATTATCACATGGATCAAAATTCTGCTAACTTCATGTCAGAAGTAACTTAATGTTACTTATAAACTTACTGATCCATTTTTTATGCAAACATATACACACAGTGATTTAAAAAAACAAACTGATATATAGGTGTGAAATTGGTTCTTGATAAGTGTTTGTCTACTCTAAAGTAATTGACTTAGACAATAATCAGATCCTGTTTACTTACTACTGAAATAGTAAAAAAACATTGACTATAATATTTTTAGCCAATAATTATTTCCACAATAAATTTACTTTATATATTTCAAATGAAAAAACTTTGCTAAAATATTCCTTTAAATACATTTATCTCCAATTCCGACACGGATTCTTATGTGTTTGCTAGCTAACATTAAATTTGTGTTATAAGTTATTTATATCAGTCTCTGAAACACTCCTTTTTAAAATAAATTTCATTACGTTCGATTATTATTCACATAACGTTTTCTTATTAATACTTTTAAAAAAGAACAAGTAAAACAAGAAAATGAAACTAAAATCATACAGATTTAGCTGATAATTTTTAAAACATATCATAAAAGCAAGTTACTTTGCCACAGATACAAGGTAGTGTCACTGTGCAAAAATATTACATAAGTGCATTGTCCAATGCAACAACAACGATCCAATCTAAATACGAGAAGACATGTACAGACGTGTACGAACAGGTCAACAAGAGAGTACAAATCTATTTATGATACTTTACAAATTTGCACATTAAAAATAAACATTATTATTAGAGAAATTTTAAACTGATAAATCTATGGACCGAAACAGAGTTTGTCAAAGCAAAACCATAAAAGTGAAAATTAGCAAAGAAATTACTACGAGAAAAGAGAAAAATAAATAATGGCGGTAAGTAAAACTAAAGGCTGCAATATTGAAAAAAGACGACACCACAAGAGGAGTTAATCTTTACACACTTCCGTTTACAAAGGAATTTCGCACGTGGTTTTCAATATCAACATGAATTAAACGAAACCCCCTTCTTTTTTTTCAAATAAGATCAATTCTCTTATACGACATATCACCTCAATATTTAACATTACTAAATAGTAAACTGTGTGATGAAAATGCTTTATTCTACTTAACCGAAGATCACATTATTTGAAAAACAACAACCGTACAACACACTGTAACAATCCTGTCACATAACGAAATTTAAGTGAATGATACATTTTTTCATAAAGTTATTTATTAAAAAGATTTGTGATTGTTACTAATCACAAAAATCTATATAGTCTTACAATCGAATTATATCTTTTGTTATATTTTTTAACCTATTTTGAAACAGTCCATAAAATAGTTTTATCTGCATTTACACTACAGTTCATTTTTAAATGCATACGTTGCCTACAACCAATTACAAAAACAATACTAATACAATTTTTATTTGACCTACTTCAAATTGTGTGCGCGGTGTGCATTATGTGGCGCCTATTAGAAATTAGTATATTGTACGCATTTATCATTAGCAGTATAGTACTCACCAACTGTTCCTTAAATTTTTTTCCCTTTACTTTTTTGGAGTGGGTAAGGCGGGTACACAATATTCCCGAAATGTTTAAAAATCACAATATATGTCAATATTATATAATAAACATTAAATGTATTTTCATGAAGATAAATTTGCAGAATCAATTATTATTTTTTAAAAATCATCAAAAATAAATATATATTCAAAAAATGATTAGTTAGTAGAATATTTATTTTTTCTGATTTTTTTTTTTTAGAATATAATGTTTTCAATAAAAAAAAAAATTAAAAAAAGTGACATAATTAAGCAAAAGATTCAGGGATCGACTCGATTGACATAAACCGTCAAAAAAATGATCATAAGAATTAAAGTTATAACATTATTTTAGAAAAATAATATAAATAAATGGTTAAATTAATAACTTTAAAGTTGAAATCATAAATCGGTAGTAACAGTAACTGAGTAACACGAAAAAATAGATATGGTTCTTCTTGGTTATTATTACTTTTGTAAATTTATAATTTTTAAATGGGCTTTACGGGAAAAAATTACGATATGCAGTAATAAATGAAATGATTTTTCACTCCCACAAAAATCTATTTTAATCCTTAGGTTTAAAAAAAAGAAATCAAACATTTTGATGAGTAAAGTACCAAGGCTTTAATAATCTATTTCAGATCTCTTATGATCACGAATACAAGCGATTCTCTAAATAATAATTACCTCAAACAAAAAATATACCAAACACTGTAAGTTTAAAGGAAATGAACTAAAATTATTACTTAAAAATGCATCAAACTAAAAAAAAAAAATAAAGATATACGACGATATTCTGAAGCGTCGAAAATGTGGTTTTCAACAGAGTGCTTGAAAAAATTTATTTTAAAGCCGGTAGATTTTTTTTAAACGAGATTATAAAAAATCTGAAGATTTTAAAATTATTCTGAACAAATTTAAAGGACTTAAAAATGAATTAAAAATAAACACAAGTAACCAATAAACAAAAAAGAGAGATAATCTCAAAACAAATAAAAAAAAAAAAAAAAAACGTTGATTTTTTTTTTTTTTTTTAGGCGTCGAGGAAGTTAGAAAATAGGAAGGTAAGCTAGAGAGATAGTAATAATAACTGTCAACATTATAACGAATAAAGACTATTTCAGTATATAAACACTAAAAATCGGAAGAAATCTAAGTACACGTGATTAGATCACTATATATAATTTTAATAGCGATTTACACAAGCTGTTTTAAACATTTAATTATGAAGAAAACGATCAGGATCAGCTAATCTTTTTCTTCCAAGATGACTTACCTCATTGTTAAAAGCTCTTACTGCTTCCATAATCTAATGTTCCGATATGGGGTCTCTTTTTTCCAATTTTGTTATGTTTTCCTTATTTTATAAACTATATCTCTGGAGTAAACATTAACTAATGTTTCCCCCTTGATAAATGAACAAAGCACACGACCAACCCCATCATGGAAAAAATAGCGTGCTTTGCAATATGGCGAAGAGATCTCCAACCCATAATAGTTTGATACGTTTCTAACCACGTTCACTATTGGTCGATTATCAATATTTGAGCCAATCATAAAACGTGTTCTATCAACAAGGTTATTTTCCATGGGAAGTAACAAGGTAAAGAATAGAAAGCATGATTACTCGGCGGTAGCAATGTCTGAAGTCAATTTTGGACAATTTTTTCAAATATAAAGACTAAAATATTCAATATGGGTTTAAGTATTTTTATTAACAAAGTATAAATGAAGGCAAGTTTTTCTTTTCCATACCCATGCTCTCTCTAAAATTTCAGCGTTTTCAAAAACTACTTTGAAAAAAGTACCAAAATTTGAAGATGTTTTTAGTTAAAAAAAATAAAAAACTTTTTTTTTAATGAGAAGTTTGTCTAATTTTTACAAAATTTAAAATACCTAAAAGTTTAAACAATTAAAAATAAATATGTATCATAAATACTGGTAAATTTATGAAACTATTAATTACCCTCATTATAATTGCTTTTTCTTTATGAAAACAGGCTTCTTAGTGCAATCGCACTTTTTAATCACCGACATCAAAAATTAAATTCATTTTTTAACGTGGCAATTTGAATTCTATGACCCTGACATAAAGTGTTTGACCTTTTAGGAAAGTTTTTAGTATTAAAATTCTTTAATTATTGGTAAGTTAAAAAATAATTATGAAGCGTAATTTAGTTTTTTTAGCATCAGTATGAGGCACCCAGTGAGAACCAAACTCACAACTGATGATCCACAAGTTCATCTTTTTTAACTTGACCTATTACACAGCCATTAAGCTTTAAAAGCAAGAATTATTTTCTATTCATTTATGAAGTATGTGCTAAATACACGTGGCTAAGTCAAACGTGTTTAAAAAGGTTTATTATTATTTTTTGTTTTCTGTTACTTTTTTAAGATTTTTTTTTGGGGGGGAAAGGCTTTTATTTTTTATCTTTTGTTTGATAATTAAGGTAATAGAATATACAAGTACTATTCACATTGTTGGTAAAATCTTCGTGGTATATTCATTAATCTTTTTATTAAAATTAATAACTAAATTTTGAAGTAGTAATCAAGTGGTATGTGTATAACAAATTCTTTGAAATTTCTTTTTAGTTTTTTAATTCAAAAAAACACCTCGTAAATTTAGAGTTTTACTGTGCAGTTGAAGCCATCAGGATCAACAACAGAATAAATGGTAAATGTTTATATGTGTGATATATATATTTGGGCAGCAATCCCCCTACCTGTTTTGTTTCTGACAAGGTACTGCGTTTAAGCTTTTTGTTTAATTTTTCTTGTGTTCTTTCTTTTCTGAATACAAAGTAGTTTGCAAAAATTGTTCAAAAGTTCCGCATATCCGAACGCTTTCGGCTATTCTTTTAGCCATCAAGAGTGATGTTTAATTTTTAATTGAATATATTCATTGATCACTTGAAATTGATATAAAAAACTTAAACAGTTTGTTGCTTTTATGTAGGTACCTCCAAAGTTTTACTAAAGAGTATACTTTTACCATGATAAAATGACCCAAAACTTGATAAAAACAAAGTTTTATCATCGAAATGTTTGTCATTATTAGGAAAGACAGATGTATTTTTAAAATTATTTTTAATCTTTTCTAGCACATTCAAAATTTTGGTGAAAAATCTTGTTTTTCTTGTGCCAGCAGGGGGGTTAAAGATTAATATGGAAAATTTGGCATCTTTTTTGTAAAAAAAAAAAACATTATTTTGGAAATTCTTACAAAAATCAAATAATTGTCAGATTTTAATTACATTTTCAGGACATATTCACAAATGAATTAAATTATTTTTAAAATTTTTCTTTTTTTTTTTTACATCTGTTACCCCAACTTACTTAATTTTATGAATTAAAATTCCACCCTTTTCATATTAATATGAGTTAAAAGCAGGACTCCTTGGAGAATTTAAATCATCAATTGGTTTTTGTCAAAAATCTGCTCTGAATCATAAAATAAAAAATGCAATAAAGCTATGACATTATTTAATTAGAAAAGCTTTTAATTGTTTTCATAAATAAGATATATTAAGGACAGTATTGTCTTAAGAAAAAAAGATTTTCAATGAATAATGAATTTTTACAAGAATTATTTTGATTTTTTTAAATTTTAATTAGAATAATTTATTTAGTTTTAAATATTTTAAAATTCTGTATTAATTTCACCCTTTTAGATGATATTAAATAAAACTATATTTACTAATCAAAAATGGAAAAGCTTAGTACAAATCATCAAATACCAATATTTTTAAAAGAATTTTGAATATTATACTTTTGTATTTTGTTTGCTTTTTTTAATGGGGAATTTCATAATCTAGTATAGAATATCAATAATAGTAAATTAGGAAGATTTTATATGAATTTTTTGATATTTACACACTTTTATTTCATTATCTTCATTTGCATAAATATAACAAAAGGAAGTTAAAGTATATTATCAGTATTTACAAATGCATTCATGTTAACAACAGTTACCACCATTTCTGAATTAAACTAAAAATTCAGTTTGTCTATATGAGGTCTGGTCAAAAATTATTGGGACTGGTGCTATAAAAATGAAACTACAACATATCAATTTGGCCTTTAATCTTCTTTGAAATAGTTCCCTTCTGAAGAAACACTCTTTATCAAGTGTTGTTTCCATTAATGGAAACATTCCTGGATCTCTTTTTTGGTGATAGCGAGCAGCTACCTCATTGAATTCTCTCGGATTGCTTTGAATTCTTAAAATCTTGTTTCTTTCAAGTGGAGTTTAATTTTTGAAGACCAAAAAGTCACACAGGGTGAGGAATGTAGTCCTTGGCCAAAAACTGCTGCACAAACCTTGGTCATTTATGGAACCTCTGTGGTGTAGTGAGATGACCACACTCTACACACTTTCCTTCCAAGCACTGCTATAAACAATGAAAGTGAGCAAGAATGTTATAACTTAGTGTATATGCATGACAGTGTTCAAGGTCAATATGTGCCAAACAGCTCCACTCTGTAAAAGTCCTGATACTTGTATGTACTTTCTTTAAGAAAATTGCAGTAATTTTTACTTACATCAAAATAAATAGCAAATATATGTTGTTGCTTTTACACCAAATATATTTACCAAACTTCAAATAGATACAACTAGAGACAATGAGGATTGATTTCATTATAAATGCAAAGGTTTTTTTATACTAAAAGAAATATAAAACCTACAAGAACTTTCCTTCCAACCAGATAGTTTGAAAGAGAAATAATAGAGTAGATTTTGTGCAAGAAATTTCAAATTTAAATTAGAATGCTTGTGAGCTTATTGGTTTGCAGCGACTATATCTGTATATGCACACTGATAGCCAAATTGAGATCTTCACAGGAGGTTTTGCACATGTTCTGTTTTATAACAAACAAATTATATAATTTAATTTTAATAATTGTAACCAATCCTGAGCATTCTGGCCAAAACAAAAGTTGTGCTCAGATCTACCTGAGGAAGATCACTGAAAGAGTGGATTTTTGTGACCCAGATGAAAAACAGTTGTTTCCACGCCAAACAAATCTACTTTCACTTTTACATTTATGCTCTTGTGTATGGTATGAACATGGTTTTAATGCACTCCACTATTTTTGGAGGCTGCTCCCATGCCCAAAATTGGAGCTGGCTCCCCTAATGCTTCCCGTTTTCAAAAAGAAGCTGCTCCAGCTCCATTAAAAAAAGAGCGGCTCTTTTTCGGTGCTCCAAGTACCTTCTTTCATAAACATTGGACATTTATCAGTTTTAAAAATCTTCCAAAAATAATATATATATTTGTGATACATTATTTGAGTAAAATTAGCAAATTTAAAGTTAAATTAATCTGATTTGAAACCAACATACTTTATCATAAAAAAGTAATATACAATCATTTCAACAGAAAAATATGTGATAAAAACTAATGCTAAATATTACGTTACCGCTAACCTAAAAAAAAAAAACAATTTTTAACCAAAATTGTGCTAGAAAAGATTAAAAAAATTTTAAAAAAATAATTAAAAAATACTTTGGTCTTCCCTCTTAATAATAACATAAACATTTTTGCAATAAAACTTGTTTTTATTAAGTTTGGGACCTTTTTCATCATGCTATGAATTTTGGTGAATTACTGAACACGCCTACTTTTATCTAGTGAATTTAACTAAAATGAAGTATTATGTTATTAAATTTTCTTATTAAAATCAGTGCTAAAAACAAATAAAACATACTTTTTCCAGAAAGTCTTGGTTTTATTGTAAAGAACACATCACAAAATATCAGTTGTTTTCAATTCCCAACTTAAATAAATTCATTTTGTTGAAAATATTTTTTTGCCAAAAGTAACCTTTACCATAGTCTGTTATACAAATAGGCATTTAAAAGATTTTGATAGATGCATTTTAAAATGTTAGTTAACTTAGTTTTGGGGCAAAACGTTATTCTTGTTGGTGTTCCAGTTGGCAAGGGAAACTTATGAAGATACTACACATTGAACAACAGAGAAACACAAATCTTCTGTTGTTAAGACTAGTTGTGGCAATATGTCATATTATTTCTCTGGAGCATAGAACAATAATGGGTAGGAATATTCAGTAACTATGAAATAAGTCAATTAAAAATTGATTTTAGGGCAGTTCTGAAGTGGGGATTTGGGGGCTAATCCCCCCTCCTATATTTTTAAATAACATTAAAAAAAACTACAACAATAACAGAGCTGTACTTGCAGAAAGGAGGTTTAGGGAACTAATACGTTAAAAATTAAATTAGAATTTTATTTCAGGTCAAAAAGTATCATTTCAGACCAAGAATCAATTTTAATC